GGATGTTTTATATGTATTTCTATAAAAACATATATGTACAGTATATGTATTCTATCCGTTACCCTAGTATCCGTATATCGTTATCATTTCTTTCGACCAAAAAGCATCTATATATATAAAACTCAAAGGTGACTGACTGACTGACATAGTGATCTATCAACGCACAGCCCAAATCACTGGACGGATCGGGCTGAAATTTGGCATGCAGGTAGATGTTACGACGTATAGGCATCCGCTAAGAAAGGATTTTGATCAATTCTACCCCCAAGGGGATTTAGGGAATGAAAGTTTGTATGAATCTTTGTCAATTTTAAACCGATCGGGCTGAGACTTTTCATGCAGGTATAAGGTATAAGAAGAATCATAGATGAATGTCATTGTGTATAATACAAGCCTGAGAACAAAAACTGTATTCTACACTTCAGCTCTACACCAAAGCGAAGAGAGGGCGGACCGCTAGTGATGAGATAAAAGTAAAGTTAATTCATTTACATAGTACCTTTAGTGCGTTTTATTATATGTATGAGTTTTTTCGTGCTTATAGTGACAATGTCAAATATCTTTATTCCAAGCATAATACAACTCTTATAAATCTTCCATTTTTTTTTCTCTACCACCTGTTATGGTATTTCTTTTTGCTGTGGAGAAAATTCTGCGCGATGCTTTCCCAATGTTAAATTCTGTAATAATATTTACAAAATATTATATAGTTACAGTGTCAACACACAATTAATAAGAATCTACTTCAATATCGTCGACTAACATTTTGGTTGCTGTGTCATCCAGTAAAAATACAAATAACTTAGTACATTTATGTTATTATTATTTATTCATTTATTAATATTATTTAGTAATTTGACAATTGAGCGTGATAAAAGCGAGCTAAATATCATATCGCGGTGTTAATGCTAGGGGGGCAGGTGATATTACGGTAGTAAAGTATCATAGAGCAGACACATCTGCGCTGGCAACATCCGTTCACGAGCATGGCGAATGAACCAGCCATCGCTTCGCTCAACCATTTTTTTTCCTAAATGACTTCGCACGGCTTGTGTATTTAGCCAATGTCAAGTGTTTAAATGTTTTCAAATTCTATAGCACTCGTGGTCAAAGTAATAAATGAAGTCAAAATAAACCTCCCCGTGGACTTCTTGAGGGAACGTCGAAAGGCACTATCCGCTATTTTGTTTCACTTGCCAACACTTGTGCATGTTCCCGATCACTTAGTGGTTAATAATCCACCATTATTAGACACTAACATCCGCCACAACACAATTTTTAACAAGAAAAACAAAACTGATATCCGATCCCGTCAAAAAGTCAACCATAATTTAGAGAACGTAAAGACCCGACACGCGACAAGGCTGTAAGGCGGGCGACTTTATATTAATTAATATTTCATTAATCTGTGATATCGTAGGAGTTGTACGGTCGCTCTGTAATATATTAGGATATCTTGAGAAGCCGGGTGCCATGGTAGATCGGAAGCTGGAGTGGAGGCATGATGGAAGAAATTCCCTTTGGTCACAATGTTTTAATCCAACTGCGGTATGCGATGGCAGAATACTCCCTGTACTACTCACACACATCGTTCGTTTCAGCAACATTCGTGATGTCAAAGCGAGGTAACCGACTGCTATTGAGAAATGGGTTTACATATTACCAAGAGAAGGGTCGGGATTCTGTGCGAGTGCGGTGGCGGTGCTCAACAAAGCACGGCTGCCGAGCTTTCCTCTGGACCATAGAAGACTGCGTGGTCAGAACCGGTGAATCGGAACACGATCATGAGCCGCCAACGACAAATATGGATCTACCACGTCTACCTAAGCCAGAGGATCCTGAACTTTATTTTCACGTCTTCTAGTTTCTAAATTGTACTGGGTTTTCTGGTGTACCGAATCGACTTATATTTACTACAGCAGTGCTGTAATGTAAGAACAAACTCGCTTTTTACCGCGGAATCCGCAATCAAATCCTCCAGTATTCTAATTTCAAATCACACGCGGATTCCGCGATGAAAAATTAGTTTGCCTTTACATAATAGCACTGCAGATGTGGGAAAAAATATTATCAGGATCTTCTAGGAAATATTGACAATGTTAAACGAAATAAAGAAAAAAGGATTTCGTTCCAAAGATGTGTAATTTTTTGTATTATAAAGATATTTTATTCATTTTACATCAAAATAAAATTGTATGTACTCAATAAAGATATAATAATAAAATATGGTATTCAATACTTTTCTATAATAAAATATTATTAAAATATAGATTCGAACCCACCAATAGGTATCATAGGTGCCTACTGCCAACACTCATAAATCAATATGAATATGAGCATTTGTTATTTTTATTATTAATTGAATTTAATGTTCATTTAATTCATATTATTTAAGTACTTAAGTAAAGGTAAACAATACATCTATTCAGATCATGTAAAGTATACATTGTTTACGATTAAGTATAACCTCAAAATCGAATACATTCTTCACGGTTCCTCAAGTTGCCCGTGTTTCAACAAATGCCTGATGAGAATTTATGAATGATTCCGAACACAACTAACATTGCTGTGAGCTCTGTGGCATTCAATTTATGGGGAACTAGCGATGTCCCTTATGTACGAACAGACGAATATTTGGCTGTTTGTACATTTTGACAAATATTATGATCTAACTAGTTTGTATATTTTGATGATTTCCTTTAACTACAATTCCGAAACTTTTTCCGCCTCTACTCCTTTTACAAATTGACTTACCACAAACTATCAGACTTTCTCAAAGCTCAAAGTGATTTAGATGGATTTGTCAGTTTTGGAAATACGTGTGTCTGCTTATACTTATCCTTCCGACACATTCCTTCTTGAGTCGGCTAAAAAAAGTATGCTCTAGCGTTATCTGAGTGAACTTCGTTCACAGATCCCCTTCGATTTGCCACCTCTCGACGTGGCAACCGATTGCTCCTTATCGCCGGATACACTTTCTATCGCAAGAAACATTTTGATTCATCTAAGGTTCATTGGCTCTGCGCTGCTCATAACAGCAAGGGCTGCAACGCAAATGCCTACACGTACAAAGACAAGATGCTTCTGTGCTTAAAGAATGAACACAATCATAAGCTAAAAGTAGTTTAACGGAACTAATGAACTCGTGTTGAAAAAAGATAAGGTAAAAATGTTTATTAAAGAAAACTGTGTACATATAAAAGAGTGCGCGACAGTTCAAAGAATCTATTCTATCTATCTATTCTATCTAAGGGCTGGTGCTGAAAGTATTGGAAGATCTGTTAAGATCTTATAAGAATAAGGTGCGATCTTGCGTGGAATATTGCTCGCACCTCCGGGATGACTCCGCCAAGTTATTGCTCGATGCTTTGGATAGGTTACAGCAGCGCGAGATCCGCATCATAGGCGATGGAAGGTGGTGACTAAACACCTCGAGCCTCTTCAATTACGTCGGCATTACGCGCGGTCTATCGTCTGTACCACGGCGAGTGTTCTGAGGAGTTATTTTCTCTTATTCCACCTTCCCATTCCCTTCAGAAGACCACGCGCGCTGGCCTTCGTTGCCACCGACTAATTATGGCCAATATTCCAACGCGTACAAAGAAATTTGGTGACTCTTACAACCTGGGATCTTTTAAAAGAGGCGTGAAGAAGCAAAATGCAGGCTGGCAAGGTGAGGATGGCTGGTCTGGCAGGTAGAACTGCTGTACCAGCTATCTTCGCGTCTGGACTTCACCGTCACTTAACATCAGGTGGGGTGGAGTCATTTATCGGACCTATCTATAAAAAAAAACGAGCGAGCCTTACAGTAGTCGCGTATGATGTGTAACTTTTAAAACCTCACCTTATATTAGTAAAAAAATAAATAAAACCTACTACAAAAGGAAGCCATTTGAACATTATGTTTTAAAATCAAAACAAATAGCGCGCACTTTCGCGACTTCCTGTATCACACTTCCGTCCTATTTCACGAAATCACTCCCACAAATTGTAGGAAAGCGAGAGGAAAGATGTTACACGGGTTGTTCTTCTTTTAAAACCTAACCTACAAAAAGGTGTCTTCATCAGTTATAAAAGAATCTAATCAAAAATTATTGGTATTATTTTATTATTCATGTTTCAATGTGTACTGTACTAAAATGTAACGGGTATATACGTTTAATATCAATAATAATTTCTATTTTAATACTAAAAAAAATGTTACAGAGTCGTCAATCCGCGTGACAGAGCTGTATTCCATACATACACAGTTGTCTCCTGCTACCAAGGCCTGTGTATAATTCATAATAGTACGAAGAATATAAAGACAGTAACAACTATAAAAGTATTTTTGATGCTGAAAGATATCGACCATCTTGTAATAGTGATTACAATTTTTTTACATTTATAAAAAAATAATGAAATCTTATAATCTCGTCTCGCACTACAGACTGTTTTAGTAGGTTTATTCGGTCACGTGTTTTTTCGTTCGAACGACGTGTATAGCCGATTCGCATTTGTCGCCGCGCCGTCGATTGGATATTTAGTTCCCCCTCCCCCTCGCTGGGATTACCTCTGCAAGGCCGAGAAATCGCGCTTTAGTCGCCCGGAAGCTGAGTGAGAAGGTGCATGTGTTTATTCGGTGACAACTTCGTCACGTAAGTATTGGACAAAAATATATTAATTATACTTACTTCTTATTATTTAAATTTTACGTAATAATAAACACTTTCATGCCAACCTGTTATATTTGTATTTTGTGGTAACGTTTAAATATTATCGTTTTTGTAACTAAAATTTACCCCTCCGTCACGCTACAGCTCCATAACAAACAAAATGAGTACGTGACGAAGGAGTAAAAAAATTGCAAGGGATTCAATATTTATATTATCTCATAAAATATAAGAATCTGTTGAAATAGGCCTAGTACTTATTATGGTAACTGTTTAGTATGAAATTTGTCTAACGTTTTTCTAATGTTTACATACTTATTTATAAATTTTCTTTTTCAAGAAATTATCATGGTGAAAAAGAAGGCATTAACAACAGCAGAAAGACAGCGGCGCTACCGGGAGAAACGAAAAAAATATCCAGAAAAGGTAGCTGAAGTTAAACGCAAAGATCTCGAGAGATATCATACTCGTAAGAAGCTTGTGGCTGAAATGACCATGAAAGAACATCGTATGATGAAAAGAAAATGGCAGCAACAAAATAAAAAAGAAGGGAGAAAACACAAATGCTTGAAAATGTACTGTTGAACACACCGGCTGATGGAGCCGGCCAATACCAGTAGATCCAGTAATGCTTCTTTATTCTGCAACACCAGGTAATTCAGAAGTATAATATGTCAAGGGGGTGGAAGAGAATGAAAAGAGATAGAACAAAGTTATACAGAGATAATATTAGATTTCAAGATAAAATAGAAGAATTAGAGAAGAAAATTCGAAAATACAAGAAAAGATTGCACAGAAAATCCAAAAAAAGATACCAATAATAAACATGAAAACAACAGTAAGAATGAATACAAATATGGAGTCCTTTCCCGCCATTAAAGAACGATACCAAACTGTTAAAATTCGTAAAGATAAACGCCTTATCCAATCTTTACTTCAAACACGCATTACAAAAGAATCTAGAATACAGACTCAATTAGTAACACCTTAGGTGTAGACAGACCTTTAAGGTATAAGGGCGTGCTGCCATAAAAACTGATGTAACGAGAGCTACAGCTGGGAAGAAGGAGACTGTGACGCACAGAAAAAACTAAATGCAAAAAGATTTTTATTGGACTCCATGAGAAACCTGTTCAAAGCCTTTTTAAGAGAAAATAGCAGCGTTAAATGTCACTACAGCTACTTTACAAAACTCAGATCGTTTTACGTAAAGCCACTTACTGTCGATGGAAGGGACACTTGCCTATGCAAGCTACATGCAAATATTTGCATTTGACCTATGTTATCAATGTTTTACATAGGAATATAGTGATTATGCAAAAATATACGAATGCAGTCCTGGAAACACTCTTAATTCGGAATTCACTTAATTTGGAATCATGTATGTAAGGAATTTGTTCTGAGTGCAATAAACGGTCTATAAATTATGATAAAACTAGTCTAAAAGCTATTGTAGACTTACGACAGTGGGCAAGAAAAAGTGAAGTTCTGGAAAAATTAGGGAAAAAAGTAAAGATCACAAAAAAAATACCAGTTACTGAAAAGCTTACACTCGCTCACACTTAAAGATATCAGCAAAATTAAAAAAATAATTGGTGGCGGACGAAGACATAGATAACGTAACATCGACTATTCCAAGCAATATTTTCCCCTATAAGAAACCATGCAAATCCACCAAATATTCTCAGAAACTCGTGGAATCTTAAACTACAGGGTTTGAGTTGTTTTTGTGAACAATTCTGTTCTGCAATATGATTTTAATACTATGTAAGTATCTTGATTTTAAGAAAGCGGAAGACCTGTAAAATGAAAATTATAGCAAAGAACTAATACATGATTGTAAATAAGTACATTTAAAACCGATTTTATTCCAAAATACAACCTAATATTTTATAGAATAACAACTCTGTCACATACTCTACCACTCTGTCATGATAATGTCTCCTGGTTTTGAATGTATATAGTCAAATTTATATTTTGTTATAAATAGTACAATTCCGGAAAAATCATATTAAAAATAGTTAACTATGATATAGTCTACGACATTAATATTTAAGATAAGATAATAATTCTTTATTGCACAACAGTAACATAAATAACACGAATAAATTACAAATACAAGGCAAAACAATTACAAGAGCACAAAGGGCGGTCTTATCGCTAATCAGCGATTTCTTCCAAATAACCCAATGAGCTGGAAAAAGTGGTAAGCACGATAATAATAATGAGGGAGGTTGTGCGGAAAACAAGACAAAAGTTTTGTAAGTAGTCAGTTGAAAATAATTAAAATAAACGCATACTAAACATTTATAGGCATACACAAATATTCACATGTATCGCAATATAATGCAACAGTACTACTATCGTAGGAATATTTTAATGAAAATTATGCTCATCTGACAAGAAATGCTCCTTAACAAGGGATTTGAAACAGGCTAGGTTGGATGGCACGTATGGTAAAGGAGTGGCTATACGCCTTGGAAAAGTTAGGAGATGTGAAAAGCAGGAAGGAGATTGTTAGATGAACGAAGCGGAAGATTATGAGAAGAAGAAAGAAACTGAAAACGTTCTTTGAGATAGGCAGGAGCTTTTGGATTGAACAGTACTGAGAAGAGTAGGGATAATATATGCAGATCACGGCGACGACGAATGGGAAGCCACTTCAATTTCTGCCTGTAGTATAAAACATGGTCGTTCTTACGTAAACCGTAAATGAATCTGATGGAAAATTTTTGCAGACGTTCAAGTTTACTTAGAAGATCAAAGGTAAGATAGGGATAGCAAACATCTGCATAATCGAGAATAGGTAGAAGAAGAGAAGTTGCAAGAGAAATTTTGGTGGCCGTAGGCAAGAAGTTACGTAAATGTCGCAAAGAGCCAGCCGCAGCAAAGGTTCGCCTACTGACCTCAGCAACCTGAAGACACTAAGATAGAGTGTTATCAAATATGATCACCAAATTCCGAATTGTTTCAGCAAATGGGATAACAATTCCATTTAAAGTAACTGATGTGAGCTGCTTAAATTCAATTCGAGATATAAAGTAAGGACTACCAATAATTATGCAGTGTTTTAATTTTGGCCTAAGTCCATTAATTGTTCGTGAAAACATTCACTGTCCTCATGTAAATACAAATACGTACTCAAAACAAACTAGTAATATGACTGATTAATATGTGACAGTTTGTGTATTTCTTTCACAGAGCCTCTGCAGTATGTTACCTCTCAACGCGGCAAACGTCTGCTACTGGTCAATGGATATACTTTCTGTCGTCACAGTACATACAAACCACCGAAAGTTCGTTGGGTCTGCGCCACACACAGCGGCAAAGGTTGCAAAGCAGCTGCATACACGTACAATGATATACTAGTAGGAACGAAGAACGAACACAATCACAGGCCTAAAATCGACTACCCCGAACAATTAACTCTTGAAATTAAATTATCCAAACAGAAATCTTAGTGTATGTAACACCATTTTCAACGTAGGAGGTAACCTTAAAAAATGTATGATAGTCTAACTGTGTTACCGTAAACCTGTGATTAACTTTCGATATAATAGGCGTTTTGTTAATCATAATAATCGTTATCAAAATTATTTATTCAGTTTAGGCTGTTACAAGCACTCATGACATGAATGTCTAGAAGCTACGCCATCGGTTCGTAAATCTTTGGCGGGAGAACTTGTACCAAGAAGAATCGGCAAGAAACTCAGCAAGGGCTATTTTATTCTCCCTGTTTTATTATTTACAGAGTCGTCAAATTAAAAAATGACTTCAGAGATGATTCATGAAGTCCTTTCATTACATAATGATTAAATATACATTAATTATTTATCTGCACTTTGGTTGCTGTGTCATACAGAATACAAATAGTTTTAATGTATATAACTAGAATTAGACAACGCTGTAGACTTCCTGAAATAAAATAAATGAAAACGAATAACTATAAAAATATTTTTTAAAAGTGACAAAAATAACGAATTTTGGTTATTGTATTACTAAGTTTTCGAGTGTGCGCGAGTGACAAGAAATCAACATACACTTTGTAATCCTAAATTCTAAAGAAAACCAACGCTTCACATGACTTATTATTATCTGAATGTAGTATTTCTTTCGCAGAATCTCTGCAGTATGTAACCTCTATACGCGGAAAACGCTTGCTCCTTGTCGCCGGCTATACTTTCTGTCGTCAGTTAACATACAAGTCATCGAAGGTTCGTTGGCTCTGCGCCACGCACCACTGTAAAGGTTGCAAGGCATCTGCATACACGTTCGAAGACACACTAGTAGGAACAAAACACGAACATAATCACAGGGCTAAAGTCGACTACCCCGAACTAATATTGTAAAAATCTCTTATTTGAAGTAAAATTAAAATTATGCAACAACTACAATGTTTTGGTTTTACATGAATGAAAAACTATTCTAATTGTCTTTTATTTTTTAATTACTAATTTAATATCTAGTTACGTATATAAAAATATAAGAAAGCGTTAAAATGCATAAGAACAAAATTATCCGTATGAGTACCAACCTACTCATTTTTTGAAATAAACTTCAAAATGTAATGTCAGCGATGTATGTAGGTTCAAATTCTGTTAGTCAAGGACTTAAATTCTTGGTGAAAACATTTGCTACTCTCATGTAAATACGGGGCAACCCAAGATTTTCTTAATCCTTCATCAAAATCCTTAAAAAAAACAATGGAATTATATGACTGATTATTTATTATCTTTCTTTTTATAGCTCGGTCCGACAAATGACTCCACCCCACCTGATGTTAAGTGACGGTGAAGTCTAGATGCGAAGATAGCTGATACAGCAGTTCTACCTGCCACACCAGCCATCCTCACCCTGACGGCCTGCATGTTGCTTCTTCACGACTCTTTTAAAGGATCCCAGGTTGTAAGAGGGAGGGAATACGTGAGCGAGCAGAGTATTCCGTTCACGGATAGTGCGATAGAGAAATGAGTTATCTCACTGTTTACGTATTTCTTCCACAGAATCTCTGCAGTATGTTACCTCTCGACGAGGTACACGTTTGCTCCTTGTCGCCGGCTATACTTTCTGTCGCCACACAACATACAAATCACCAAAAGTTCGTTGGGTCTGCGCCACGCATAACGCCAAAGGTTGCAGGGCATATGCATACACGTACGATGACATTCTAGTGGGAAGAAAGAACGAACACAATCACATGCCTAAAGACGACTACCCCGAACAAATAAACTCCTAGGTACTTGAAGTAAAAATAAAATCATGCAATAAAAATCTTTGTCCATCCAACACATTATTTTTAACACAGTGAATACATTAACCAAAGTGAGTATAATCACTTTTAATCATAAATTTATACTGTGGGCTGTATTCAGATTTTGATTTCTTATGCCTAAATGAAAGAACATGTGGTTTCAATACTGTTGCGTACTTAAAATAATTCATTGACTTTGTCAAATATCACATTGACCATATTTATACTGTTTTTTACAAAATACAGCTGAAATAAATTTACTGTGGTGTACATAAAGTAAATATGTCGAATAAATGTCAGTGTGACTTTTAATTTGTATTTTTTTACAAGAAAGCGTCAAAATGCATATGAAAGAAATCATAGCGTACCTACGAATTTTCTTAAATAAACTTATTAATTGTTTATTTATGTTTGTGTATTCCTCTACTACGCGCAACATACATTTACATAGAACACGTTCATTAATATAGTAAACTATAAGTTTGGACTTGCTTTACGCGCTATACTATATTACGTAATAGTATAGCGTACGTAGTCTGAACGCACTTTTACATTCGAAGTAGCTTAATTAGAATTGATTTATCGATTTTGAAACATGCCCTTTATATTTCAATTTACAATAATCTTAGTTATAAAATTTCCTTGAAACTTTAGCACCTCCAGCTTCGGCTGAAAATAACCGAATATATTTTGTTCTAAAATCTCTTATAATAAACATATCCATACTAAGTATTTATAGGAATTAGCCTTTGTTAATCCTTGATCATGCATGATATAAAAGAATATTAGCTATTGTAAATAATTTTAATGACCTTAAATATCTAATATGAGGTAAGTGCGCCTAAAAAGGGCCGGTTCCAAATAAGGTCCATCTTTTCTAACTTCCCGCACTTAATATTTAAACCAAAACTGATTTTGCGCAGCGCCTCCACAGTAACCAATCATAAAAGCGCACCAACGTTCATTGCCTCCGCGCCGGCCATTTTGGCAGTGGCTCTGTGTGTAACCTCAGGTGCAGTCGACGTGACTGAACGAATAAAATATTCTGATCCAATTTTGCTTTGTTTCAGTAATAAAACTCGGTGTTATGTAATAATTTTGCAATAGTAATGTTAAAATACTTTCAGAAAATGGATTGACGGGGTAAGTTACTAAAATTATTGCTTATTTATCTAAATTTTGTTTAATTTTCTCAGGACACATGTGATTGCCTAAGAAGGTCCAAGTTGTTGTCTACAAATAAGGGCCGGCCCTTATTGGGGGTACGATATTTTAAAATAGGCATGATCAGTTACATAAATGACTTATATGAGTGTAAATAAGCAGCCTGGCGTAGCAAGTGGCACTTTTGTGTGGCGATAACGACAGTTCGCTAAGTACTAAGCCATTGCTATCGCCCAAAAGTGCCATTTGCTTAGATACCTTCAACGAATACTTATTTAAAAAGAAATAGTTCGTCAAGTAGGATTCAAGTTTTATTTACTTACCTTTTCGCTTAAGTATATAAGATTTGATTTATACAAATTTAATCATATTTTAATCTAGTACTTTGTTTTCAGTAAAGACAATAATGGAACCTTCGCAAAAAAGAAAACGGGGCTCGGGATGGTCTCAAACTGATCTTTTGGGTGCCCTTGATGATATACAAAAAAACCAAATGTCTGAGCGTGCAGCAGCCTTAAAATATAATATACCACGGCGAACGTTGAAGAATCACATAAAATCTGGAAGCGCTGTGAAGAGAACGGGAAGAAAAACTGTTTTTACCGACACACAGGAAAAGGAATTGGTAGAGCGAATTAAGAAGTTTTCAAATATAGGCATGCCTTTGACACCAAAAACAATACGTAAACAAGCTTACTTATTTTGTGAAAGAAACAAAATAAAAAATCCTTTTAGTGACAAAAAATCGACCGCTGGCAAGAAATGGCTCAACAATTTCCTCGCACGTAATAAAGACATATCTCAACGTAAAGCACAATTCATGAACCCTGCCAGGGCTCAGACAAGCTTTTAAAAAACTTTTTTTGTAAATAAATGGTCATTCGTGTGTTGTTTTTGTGCAACGTTTTCTTTTCAAATAAAAACAGTTTGGTTGATCAGGACGTCGTACGAATTCGTTATTGATTATCACGTCACGTTTGTAATCACGTGATTCTTAATACTATTAATTTCAGGCATAATAACCCATATTACAAATTACAATTACAATTGCATTTTGTCCCATTTTATCTTAAAATGAAATCGTTGAATCACAACTCGGCAATTATTCTTACTAAATTCAAACAATAATTTTAATAATGTATATATAATATATTATTAAAATTATTGTTTGAATTTAGTAAGGATAAATTTCCCTCGCTTCCCATAAAATTTTCCGCCGATCGTGTTTTGTTTTCGGGATATCAGAAAAGTTTTGCAAAACACCTGTTTGTTACACTTTGCTACTTTGTTTAATTTTAATTGTCCATAAGAATGAAGATAAAGCAGTGTATGCTACTGCATATAATTTAGGTATAAAAATACGCGAGTCAGCCTATTATCGATGAACAGACTGTCGTGTTTTAATACCCCTTCTTTAAATATTGTTTATTTAGATTTGTTAAAATAATTGTATATTTTCAAATATCTTAATTTACATTTTTTTTTACTTAAAATAAATACTGTTAATTTTGTTTTTGCTTTTAATTTCCACTTGTGTAGGTATATAAAAATACAAGAAATTTTGAAATAAATATAAACCAAATTATTCCACATGAGTTTTACCTACTAATTCTCTTAAATAAACTTCCAACTCAGCGTGACTTAAGCGGAAATTAACTTTTTACCTACAAATTTAATTTCGGCCTAAGTCCATCAATTCTTCGTGAAAACATTCACTGTCCTCATGTCAATACAAATACGTACTCAAAACAAACTAGTAATATGACTGATTATTATGTGACAATTTGTGTATTTCTTTCACAGAGCCTCTGCAGTATGTTACCTCTAAACGCGGCAAACGTTTGCTACTGGTCAATGAATATACTTTCTCTCGTCACAGTGCATTCAAATCATCGAAAGTTCGTTGGATTTGCGCCACACACGGCGGCAAAGGTTGCAAAGCATCTGCATACACGTTTGATGACATACTAGTGAGAATAAATAACGCACACCATCACAGGCCTAAAAAGGACTACCCCGAACAATTACTGCGTTACAAATTTCAAA